AGCGTCATGACTTGAATCTCATATGGCGGTTCCATGATTGGATCCTAAGACCTGAGATATCTACGGAATCCGACATGAGGAGTTGCAAGCTTTGAATACGTCAAACGTTCTGCGTAACAGGAGAACTATAAAGGCGTGTATCAGGTATGACACGAATCATGTACTGGATTGTAGATAGTCAAGACGAGAGTTGCACCTCTTGTAAAAGAGAGAGATATCGCTGGGCCCCTCGTATGAGTGAGACACGAATCATGTACTGGATTGTAGATAGTCAAGACGAGAGTTGCACCTCTTGTAAAAGAGAGAGATATCGCTGGGCCCCTCGTATGAGTGAGACTGTAGAAATGTGTGGCCGCACTATAGACGAGCGTCATCTATTTCAGACAGTCGAACTCAGAGAACGAGAAAGCAGTCAAATCAGATAAGGCGGCTCGTCCATGCCTTATGTTCGACATATGATATCGCGATGCAAAAGGATCATCAAATGGAATCATCACTGGTGTTCATAGGATCACGAACAAACTCTGTTCGAGATAGGTAGTCATTGTGTCTTGCTAGAGACGCCTATGACTTGTGTAACCGAAATAAGAGATTTCGGGTTATACTACTATATCGGATGAGTCTACAGGGTCACACACACAGGAAAGGACGAATGCGCGAGAAAAGACGAGAAAATCCAGGTGGAGCGGAGGCTAGACCGACCGGTCCAGAAGGTCTGGACCGATCAGTCGAGCCAACCTAGACCGATCGGTCCAGACACGTGGATCGGTCGGTTCGAAGGTAACGTGTGAAAGTCACTCGGTCCGGAAATTGCTCCAGACCGATCGGTCCAGACATGGACCGATAGGTCCAGGCTTGGTTTTAATGGTTTATTAGAAAATTTTTGTTTTACTTCCGCTGCACAAACCCTAGAACCGATCTCTTAGGAATTAGATTCGCTGTAGAGATCCCAGGAATCCCAACAGTGGTATCAGAGTCTGGTTGCTCTGTTCCAGGCCTGGACCAATCGGTCCAGACGTCGAGATTTCCCAAACTCGCTCTAATTAGGATTTTAAGTGGGATTAACTTTAAGGAATGCCTCCTAAGCCTCTAGGTACGACTTGGATTGACAGGTTTTGAGAGTTGAAAACCTAAGAGTTAGATCCCTGAAATCCTTGCGCAAAGAAGAACGTGTTCTTCAGTCCTAGCAGACAAGTTCCAACCGTTGGAATCCTTTCCACCGTGTGGATACGTGTAGAGGGCAAGGTATTCTTCCTGCCTACAGTGATCGGGCAAACACATCAATTGATACAGGTCCCAGATCGATTGAGGTAAGCATTCTAACGTTTCTACAAGATCATGCATGATAGGTTTTAGGGTTTTATCAAAATTTTTGTTTTACATCCGCTGCGCAAACCCTAGAATCGATCTCTTAGGAATAGGATTCGCTCTAGAGATCCCAGGAATTCCATCAGTGGTATCAGAGCCTGGTTTCTCTGCATGATTTTTGTTAGAACCCGATCACGCACGTTATATGATTTCAATTGTTTGAATCCGTGTTTGCTTTGATGCTATGCATGATTTGATTGTGGATCTAGAGTAGATTTTCTGTTCATTGTTGCATATGCAAGAGCTTCAAATTCTGAGTTCGCCGGCGAAAACAGAGTCGAATTCGGATATGAAATGGGGCAGAAACGACGAAAAGAGATCTGATCATGTTTTCGCCTAGACCGATCGGTCTGGTCCTCTGGACCGATCGGTCTAGGGTTTCGCATGTCAGTTGGACCGACAGGTCCGGACTGAACGGTCTAGGCCTAGACCGATCGGTCTACACGGCTCGGTCTCCAGGTCAAGGTC